GGGCAACCGGCCTACTATGGTCCAATGAATGCAAACCATAGCCATCCGCCGGCACTGGAGATTGAAGAGAAGCCACCCGCCAGAGATGCGAAGATTAGGAGAATTGCTCCTTGGTCTTGGAAAGATGTCATGCTTTTATTTATGGCTATGGTCATTGCTTTTCTTATTTGGAAGTTGATGTAGGCTTAGTTTCGTAGAACAATAGGTGAACTTTGTTGTATGTGGACTTATTATTAGACTTTGCATTAAACATATTATATATATAATATGAACATATGCTATTAGTAGTTGTCCACAGCCAAAACTAACCACGATCGTGTCATAGCCATGACTCGTTGTCGCCTGTTACCCCATCGTCAAAGAACAGATCGGCAACAAGAAGTGACTGATATCGCTGGGATGGGAGAGCCGCATGATCCGACAAACGGTGACGGTGTCAATCAGGACGGTGAGAATGAGCAGCCATGGACCCCATCCGGCCTGCTCGAGCTAGGTCAAAATGACCAAGATGGCCAGGTAACTTTGGTATCTTGTGACTATGTAGCCACACATGCTAATCAATTAAGAGGGTCATAGCTTACTTGGTGTCTCTAGTAGGAGCCTCCACCGGCCGAGGAGCTAGAGGGTTCGGGTAGCAGGAAGGCTAGATCCAAGCAAGGCGTGTCAAAGATTCCTGTTGGTAAGAATGCACACTGGCACATCACTAAGTTCGATGAATTCATGGATCCACTCTCACCGCCTATAGCTTTAACCAAATACAAGACTATCCTCAGGTTACTTGTAAGGGACTTCATCCCAATTAGGTACAGGAAGTGGATTGGGAAAGATAATGACCCGTGGAGGATTCTCGAAAGTGAGAAGGATTACATATGGGATATCAAGATTCCAGAGTATTTTACTTTCCCAATGGAGTATGACAAGGAGGTAGTCAAGAAAAAGCAAAAGAAATCATGGGGACATGCTTCAAGAATTGCAAGGGGACATTGTACAAGCATTTTGTCCTCCAAAATAAGGAGCCATATTTCGATGGTGGATAGTTTAGCAAGCAGAAGGACTTCTGGCAGGATTTCAAGGAATACAGGTTATCCAAGGAGTACTTAGAACTAAGCAGGAAGAATAAGGATAACTCGCAGAAAGCGACGAATCCTCATCATCTCAGCTCTCGTGGCTATGCCAACAAGATGCCAGAATTTGAAGCAGAGCTTAAAAAGATGGATCACCTTGCTGAGGAAGGCGTTTAGGTTGAGACCGCCCATTGAGAGCCAAGATCGGTAATATACTATATGGGGAGGAATGTACGCAACGTCGAGGACGGGAGCTTTAGCTCCACAAATCCACCCATGAGCGAACTCATCTAGAGGATCTCCCAGGTAACTGAGGAGGTGAGGCAAGGGACTCGCACTTCTAATAGGGAGAAAGACGTGCTCACCCAAGCACTTAGAACCAAGGAGCACCCTGGTCGCACTAGAGGAACTGGTGTTGTTCCTTAGAAACTAGCATTCCTCAAAGAATCTCACACTTACCGGAGCCGGTCGAGGGGTAGAGCGGAACAGGAGGCAAAGTGTTTGAGGCGACTAAAAGAGATGGAAGACAGAATGGATGCATGAATTGAGGCGATTATTGAAGCACGAGTCCATCAATTTTTGTTGTTCAAGGGGTCAGGAGTACCACAAAACCTTACTCCTACTGCCTTTAGCCCATAGTTGAGGGGTCGTAGCAACTGCGGATCGACCCCGCTCGATGAAGAAGATGTGAATGTGCCTCATCCGGTGGATGGCATCACTGAACCCGTCATTGTCAAGTTGTACATCCGTCAGGAATGGACAAAGGATAAGGTGGAGCTCGGCCAGGCTTGCCCTGTGGGAGACGAGACCATTAATGGCCGCCTAATTCCATAGGGGTATGCTCGCGTCACCATTGATAGAATACTTGATAAGAAGTATAACAAGATACACATTAAGTACCCCGCAGCGGAAGATAGGCCAAAACTTGGTGATAACAAGGGCTCTCAAGTGGCCTGGTCCAAGCGCTTCATTAAGCTTGACCACCAATTGTCCTCTAATGATGAGGACGACTGCGAGTCTTCGCCCACCCACGATGATCACTCACCATCTCCCAACAGAGATCACTCCCCTCCTCATCCCTTGCCATCACCCCGAGAAGACAGAGGTCTCCTTCTATTCCTCCTCGTTTGACTCCATCTTCATCAGCCCCGAGAAAAGAGAAGACTCCTCCTCCTCCTCCTCCTCCTCCATCTTCATCAGTCCCGGGAAAACATAATTCTCGTCGTCATCATCCTACTCCTCCACCTCAGCCCAAAACAAGATCAAAGGCATCCTCGTAGTCGCAGAAAAGGTCCTGTGATTCGGTCGCTAATGCTCCCAAAGTGGACCAACAAAAAAACAAAAGGTCGTTTAGTGGCACCGTTACAAACTTGATGAAAGAAAAATTTATATCACACATCTCGAAGGAAGATTGTGTTAGTTTCTTGAATCTCTGTGCCTCACTGCCTCAGTGTTTGTTGAAGTCCGAATTCAAAAGGCAAACATAGAATAAGTACTCTACAATAAGAGATGATGAAATACACAATGAAGATTTAAGGAAGATACAGAAGTACGTCGAAGACAACCCTGAATTAACCATGGAAGAGGTCGCGAACATCTATTATGATGTACAAGGGACGGGAACACCGTTAATGAAGTATGAAATGGGCAATCTTTTGGTTCCCGACGACGAGTATAAAAAATTGACAACATATATGCGCCATTTGCATGAATATTACATGGCTCAAGCAACAAAGACGGAGGACTTTGGTTTTGAGGTTATTATCCGTTCGTCACATGTTTTTCATTATCCTGAAGAAGAGAAGTTCGATGTCGAGTGGGAGTGCTTGTTCCAGCTATACCAGAAACGCTCTGTCGATTCACAAATATTGACGATGTGGACTATGTAAGTACCCTACACGCATGATATTACAATTAACTACTCTCTCGAGACACAAATTGTTAACTTTTGAGCAGTTTCCATGATTTTATGTAGGTTTATAGCAAAATTTTGCATACTAAAAAGCAAATAGGATAACATAGCCTTCTTGAACCCCGAGCGAGTCAATGAAAAGACATGTTTAGGCCTCCAGAGATGTGATGTGAAAGACCTGAAAGAGAGATTGATTGCTGTTTTCGATGAATTCAAGATGAAGAACAAAACCCACATACTTCTAGCCTATAACTGCGAGTATATGTTCTCGGCTTTTAATTTTATGCTTCTTTTTTCGTTAAGATTATTCGATAATTAGGATTATGTGATTGCAGCAACCATTTCGTTTTCATTTGTGTCAATCTTGCTAAAAATCTGATCGTGTAGTGGGACTAGAAGAAAAACCATTTCATCATCTGGATGCACTGGTGGTAGTGCTGAATTAGTAAGCCATCCTAATAATATATTATTTTCTAATCACACATACTACTTTCTAATGTTTCTCCTTTTAATGTTGCACAGTATCTGAAGAAGACATATCGGTGGGACGCAAGTCCCATTCAAGGTTGTCGAAATAGAGAGAAAGTACCTAAAACAGCCGACGGAAAACAATGAATACGGATTTTATGTAATGTGGGCAATGCTTCGCTACATTGATGGAAAATCGGAAGAAGCAGATAAGTTGGTGTATATAATCCCCATTTCATCTATGTTTGTTAATAGTTCAACAAAATAATTTACTGATTCCTCTATGAATATCATCATTTTTGAACGAGAGCACAAGAAATATAACCACGAAAGGCTGTTAGACATGGAGATCGTCGCAGTGCAATCGGAGCTGGCAAAATTCATCTTAGCTGAGGTATTAGAAAAAGATGAAGTATTTTCCATTGCACAATCCGTGAAGTTCAAGGACCAGTATGGCCCAGAGGGGCTCGCTAGATTATTGTAAGAACTCCGAGAAACATGCTTCATCTTATCGAATAATTTCTTTTTTATTTTGAGGGATCGAGATCTTGATAAGAGCATTTGAACTGTAACATTTATAATGTTTAATATTGATGGACCTGTTGTCTACGTAGTATATATAAAGCGAAACCGATTCTAGAAAAAATATAAATTAAAATAAATTATAAAATAATAAAATGCGAACGGGCCATCACTGCCGGTTAGCAACAAACCGGCAGTGATGGCCAAGATGGCACTGCCGGCTTGAGCCATAAATCGGCAGCGTTGGCTTAGACATCACTGCCGGGTCTTGTCCCAAATCGGCAGTGCTGGTTACGACAACACTGTCGGCTAAAGATACAAACCGACAGTGATGTTCGAGGGTACACTACCGGGTGCCTCATGAACCAACAGCGTTTGTTGAACTAAACTCTGCCGGGTTGTATAAAGGACCGGCAGTGAAGTTAAAGAACACTGCCGGTTTGTAGGAACCGACAGTGATAGATAACCCTCATCACTGCCGGTATGGTTGTGCCGGTTTAAAATCCGACAGTGATGGAGTGTTTTGAACCGGCAGGGATGTCAAGATCTTGGATAGTGTTATTAAGCCTAATTAACCCGCTATTAGCGCATATTTTACTGTAGTACTTTACTGTCAAATCCTGAAGTAATTAAGCTTAAAAGATTCGTCTCGCAGAGTAGTCACAATCTATGTAATTAGTAATTTTTTGAGTCTATATTTAATACTCCATGCATGTGTCAAACATTTAATGAGATATGATATAAATTTGAAGGGAGGAACTAAACAAGGCTAACGTAAGCATACAATAATGCTCTGGTTGGTCAAGTTTTACATCAATCACATACACCCACTATACTGTATGTAAAGTAGAATCAATTATATGTTCACTGCTGTACCATAAAGTAGCTAGAATCAAATTAAATGTCGTTTACTTATATGTCTACTGGCGGGTTAGCCATCAACGTCTCAACGATTTATATATCTCTTAACTTTATTTGGCTACTCGTCTCCACAGCATTTTTCTGTCCCCATTTCGATCTAACTAGACGAGGCGATGAAGAAGACTGTGGTTTTGTACCCCGGCCTTGCCGTTAGCCACTTCGTCCCCATGATGCAGCTCGCCGACGTCCTCCTGGACGCTGGGTGTGCAGTTGTGGTGGCGCTTATCGACCATGCGGATAAAGAAGACGCCGCCTTCGCTGCCGTCGTCCGCCGCGTCGCAGCATCGAAGCCTCTCGTCGCCTTCCACAAGCTGCCGCGGATCGAGGACCCTCCCACCGTCATCCATGACGCGCAGTTTCTCCTCAGGTACCTCGACCTCGTGAGCCGCTATGACCAGTTCCTCCACGGCTTCCTCTGCGCCATGCCTCTTGGGAGTGTCCAAGCCGTGGTCGTGGACGTGTTGTCCATGGGGGCGCTTGACGTCGCCAAGAAGCTCGGCATCCCGGCGTACTCCTTCGACGCCACGAATGCCTCTGCGGTCGCCGTCTTCCTCCAGCTTCCCACGATTCGCAGGGAGGACCAACCAAGCTTCAGGGAGCTAGGAGACACCCCTCTCAACTTCCATGGAGTCCCACCCATGCCGGCGTCTCACCTCGTCGAGCAGGTACTCCAGGATCCGGAGAGCGAGGTATACAAGGTGATGATGGACGGGTTTCGCAGGATCCCGCAAGTAGTAGACGGCATCCTGGTGAACACGTTTGCGTCGTTGGAGACTCGGGCGGTGGAAGCTCTCGGGGACCTTCGGCATCTCCCAGCAGCGCCGCCGGTGTACTGTGTGGGGCCCTTGCTCGCGGAAGCTGGCAAGGAAAAAGAAAAGCACGAGTGCCTCTCGTGGCTCGACGAGCAACCGGAGCGCAGCGTCGTCTACCTCTGCTTTGGAAGCATTGGCACCGGCAACCACTCCAGGGAGCAGCTGAATGAAATCGCTGTCGGCCTGGAGAATTCGGGCCACCGGTTCCTGTGGGTGGTGCGAGCTCCTCCAAGCGACGATCCCGAGCGGCCGTCCGAGCCCCGCACCGACCCAGACCTCGACGAGCTCCTGCCGGATGGATTCTTGGACCGAATAAACGGCCGCGGCCTCATCCTCAAGCTGTGGGCGCCACAGGTGGAGGTGCTCCACCATAAAGCAACAGGCGCGTTCGTGACGCACTGTGGGTGGAACTCTGTGCTGGAAGGCATTAGAGCGGGTGTACCCATGCTCTGTTGGCCATTATATGCGGAGCAGAAGATGAACAAGGTGTTCATGGTGGAGGAGGCCGGGATTGGAGGGGAGGTCGCAGGATGGCAGCAAGGGCTTGTCAAGGCGGGGGAGGTGGAGGCTAAGGTGAGGATGGTGCTGGAGTCCGAGGAAGGGGAGCGGCTCAGGGCGCAGGTGACGGCGCTCAGCAAGGCAGCAGCTGCGGCATGGGAGGACGGTGGTTCGTCGCGCGTTGCGTTCCAAAGGTTCTTGTCAGATGCCGAGAAGCTCAAGGCTCAAGCGATGCGTGCGTAGGTTGGATGAAAAATGACTTCTAAAATAATATAATGTCGGAGCTGTCTTTCTTCTGTGACATTAAGACTATCTCCAACGATGCTGACCCAAATAGAAGACTCATTGGCTAGAATGTGTCGCGCTGTGGAAAAAGGTCACGTATCTATTTTCGTGGTTTTCCAACAGGAAACGCAAAAGAAGATGCACTGACAGCTTCCTCTCACTCTCAGCAGTGCATGCAGGGCGTGGTCCCCACGGGTCTGGTCTCCCTTTCGCTCAGCAACCAATGGACAGGAGCAAATGGAGCATACGAGCGGCGCCCAGATGCATGCAAGCACGGGCCCCACACGCACTATCCTTCTCACACGAACTGCATAGCACCAACAATCGGTCAACAGCGCGTGACCCATTGGCCGGAGCATGCGACGTATATTTGGGCTGCGCCTCGCCTCGCACGCATTTTGCGTCCTCGGTATGCCTATTCCGTTGGAGGCTATTTTTTTCGCTAAAGTAAGGTGAAACACGCATTTTGGGTTTAGGTATCGGTATGGGTAGGCCGTTGGAGATAGTCTAAGAGATCGTTCTTATGAAATTTTAGCTTATTTCTTGTCTCGTGTGTGACTGTTGCATGCTATTCAAAGATATATTGTCTATACTATTTTGTTTTTGTGCAAACAAAATAGACAAATTTGTACAAGAAATTGTCTCTACGACCACTACTACATAAACCTTTTGTAGGGGCGGCTCCAGATGATTTGTACGGGCGGTTTGGCCAGCCGCCTCTACCAAAGCATAGCTACAAATCATATATTTGTAGGGGCGGTTCCCACACCGCCCCTACAAATCGATTTGTAGGGGCGGCTGGTGTCTACAACCGTCCCTATAAATCGATTTGTAGGGGCAGCTGTAGTATCAACCGGCCCTATAATACATGTTTGTAGGGACGGTTCAGTCTAGAACCACCCCTACAGTATATTTTTTCGCCAAAAAATTTTAAATTTACAATTCAAATTTGACCGGAACATATATATATATATATATATATATATATATATATAATTCGAGATCGGCTAATCAATCAATTTATCACGCGCGTGGGCATCTCCTTTGCCTGAGGTGTGTCCCCCCAACCCCCGCCGATCGAGACCATGCATGGCGCCTGCAACGTGAGAGGAAAGGAAAGCGCAAGCAAAAGGGCATCAGGACGGCAGGGAAGGGCATGGCATGCGCGCATCAGGATGGCAGGGAGCACAGCTAGCCAACACGTACCTTGCTCCAAAGTCCAAGTCCAAGAGTATTATATAAACTACAATTACAAGTCCAATTCACAAGAATATATACAATCCATCATTAAATAGACATAATTCATAGACATAATTCATAAGGTAAGACTAATGTCAAATTTTATACATATTGTTATCAACGGCCTAGAGCTAGCCTTTCAGTCTCACGAAGGTGTTGGTACTGAGGATTTCTACCTAAGTTAGAATATCGGTCATGGTAGGTTCCTTTGACATGTACAATCTGGTCCAATAAAAAGTTACAAAGGTCGTCGACGAGCTCTAAGAGTTGGTCATCCTTGTATGGGTCTCTTTTCATTTTTTTCTCTTCTTTCCACTACAAGAGAATAAGTTTCGGTTTAGTATTTCATACCATGTGCGAAGTTTTTATACTACGGGTGAAGAGGTTCAAACTTACCCTTAAGGAGTGTCTCCTATAGGCACCGGTGTTACTTATCATAGAACATACATAGTATTCATAATGTACACTCCAGGCTTCTGCTTGGGGCACTGTGTGTTTTACATATGAAAATGTTAAATAATGCTTTTGACAGCCATGTAATAGAGTACTGAATAAGTAAGTTACACTTATCGCACATAGTGTTTTTATGGCCAGCATTTCCTTCCTTGCTGGATCATGCCTTCCGTGATGTTTAGTGACATAGAATCTAAGTGCCATGTTCAAATTATTTTAGAAAATACAACTTGTAAGTATCTAAAAGTAAACATTACAAGTATGTATACGAACATATAAGCTAATGGGGATTGTCGATATGTATACGTCTTGAGAATCGATATGAAGTCTTTGTATATCATCGGGTCCCTATCTATTAAATCAAAGACCCATGCTATGCTCCTCCCGACAACGACGCCTATACAAATCCAGTGGTTGCTGCATGGATTTAATCATAGAACTAGATAAACTCTTTTGTATCGAATAAAATATATCGAACAAAGCTTTAAGTATAGAGTTGAACTTACTCGAAGTTGTATGGTAGCCATATAGTAGAGTGCTGTTGGAGATTTTTAAAAGCCAGGGCAATGTATGCCGAAACCTTAAGGAACTCTTGCCTTAGTTTCTTCATACGAATGTCCTCTTTCTCCCGAAGGGTCTTTCCAGCTGCTAGCTCTTTGTCATCCAGTTTCCACTGTCTAGGGTAATTAAAATTTATTTGTGCTATAGCTTGAGGGTCTATATATCTGGCTTTCACACTTGGCATTTATTTTACAATGTCCACTTGCATTCTACAAATCACGACATGGGTTAGTTACAACAAAATCCAAAGATTACATTCATATCATATCGGGAGGACAATGACTTACAGGCACCACGTGCAAATTAGATTCATTTCTATTGCTCCGAGGTGAAAGCATGTCTGCATGTCATTGAAGTCAAAGAAAATTTTCTGGGCTGGGCTTCCAAATGTGCTGGTGGGAAGCATGCTTGTACGAGGTCTATGCTCGTTAGGAGAACACGCAAGTACAAATCATGGAACCTTCTCATTCCAAGTGGTAGGCGCTAGATGTCCTGGTTTGATAGGAAGGGCTTGCCTCTTTCATATGTTTTGGGGCAATCCTTTGACCATTTGATGGAATCAACATTTGGATACTGCTTTGCTGTTTGGTGGAGTTTGCTAGTGACGGCCTCCTCAGAAGCCCATGATGGGACTTTTTTAACTTGGTTCTCAGGCTTGAACTGGTCATGGGAATATCACTTGTGCACCGACGAGACACCTTTCATCGGAACATAAATTGGTCTTATGGTGACTGGATGCTTCTTTCGAAGTTCCCATTCAGGCACGTCCTCATCTTCTTGTGCATCATCTTCTTCAGGAGACACTCGTTGTTCATGTATCGGCTGTGCTTGTTGAGAAGACTGTGGCATCTCATTATGCACTTGCTCGGTACGAGTTGAAGAAGGTTGTGGCTTATCAGGCACATGCTCGCTAGGAGGCGGGGAAGAATGTGGCATCTCAAGAATGTGGTGGTCATGAGACGGTGAAAATATCTCCCCGTCTTCAACGACTCGCTCCAAATTTGGGAGAGGGGGAGGCAATGAAGAAGCAGTCAATATAATGTCCCGTTTGTGCCAGAGGATGAACTGCCCCATTACGTCTCCGAGTAACACCAGCCCCTCAGGAGTTGCGTAGTCTATCCTCCACTACATGAACTCGGGCTTCACGGTATGCATCTCGACCCTAGTGTAGTCCGGTGGTATCTTATTATTGTGGTGTAAGCCATCGGGAGGATGTGCCACACCCGTTGCCACCTCCATCACAATGTTCTACCGGCCGCTGAGAAACACCAAGGTGCAACTAGTTGGTTCCCATATGCGATCGACGAGGGTTGTGGCTGCAGTGAAACCTTGGCTGCTAGGAACTTTCGGAGGGCTGTCAACTAAAGCTAGTTCTCCCAGTGGCGCCATTAATGTCCATAGCTCCGTAGAAAGTCCTTGCTCCTCCAGCGCCTTCGCAACTAGAGCCTTCACTTGGAGCTCAAGATTAGTCTCCTGGTCTATGCCATGTTTCTTGTACATGTGCCTGTCCTCTTCAATTCCGTGCTTCTAGGTCGTTCTTTTCCCTAGCCCCCTGGTGCGGCCTATGTGCTCCTTGTTTCCTAAACCAAGGCTAAGCTCGTCCCTCTCTCTTGAAGGATTGAATGAGCCCTTCTCCTTGTCTTCAGCATATTTCATTATCCTTGATACTGCCTCTTGGGTCTCCGGCTTATCAAACTTAAGATGACCGCCGGATGATTCTGTACTCCTCTCATATATCTAATTTCTTGAGCGTACCTTTAAATTCTTCACATCGATATTTCCAGCAACTGTGGCCTCTTCGTCCATCTTCCTAAACTGCTCTTCCTTGGCATAGTAGCCATCAGGGCCCAGATGTTGGTGGTGTTTGTTCCTCTTCGCCAGCTCGGTGTTACAGGCACTAAGCTCCAATGCCTCTGGTGAAGTCTTCTGAGCCACGAGCTCCTCCCATTGACTAGGAGTTATGTTGTCGAACTTGTTGAAGGGAGTTAACCCCTTTTGGATATACTTCTTATTTAGCTCCGACCTCCAACGTCGGAATGACTCTCCCATGATCTTAAAAGCATTTTTTTACCAGCTCGTGCTTACCCTCCGAAAATCTAAAATTGAGCTTCAGCTGCTTATCCCGTAGTTCATCATTTTTCTTCTCTGGTACCTCTTTCCTGTTAGGGATTGCTGGGTTCAATTTATCTCTTACTAGGGCCCCGATCGCATTATGGAATCGTCCTCTGAATTTCTTCGGCTCAAGGATCTCCCCTACTGGCCCGACCTCCGTTATCACATAGCATGCCTTATTTGGTTATTGATTTGCTTTTCTATCCCCTCGTTTCCTCTTTGGCTTGGTAGTCGTGGTTGTGTCTTGAGGTTGTGGAGCAGAGGCCTCAATGTCCGTATCTGTGGCTGTTGTCTTTGCTCTCCTTTCCTTTACTCTGTCTTGTCCAGCGTGATGTCGCAGACGTCGACGTCGTCTTTTTTCAGTTTCAGGAGGGACCTGTATATACGACAATTCAAAGTGTTAGCAGAGGTAACATATCCAAAGCTTTAGCAAAATTTACAAGCTATGGCTTTATCCCTACCTCCTCGTTCGGGTCAAAATCCTTGTCCAAGTCTTCCTCCGTTGGCCTCCTTCTGACTTCACGTGGGAAGGGATCCTCGAGACTTACATATCTCTCTTCTGAGTCCTCATCATCATCATCCTCTTCTTCTTC